AGTATTTACTGCCCTTGAGAGTGTAGCGATGATTCAGCTTTTCGAACCATTGTAGTTTTTGTGACGGATGTATTTGCCCCAGTGCCATGAAGTAAGGAGTTGCAGCTGTTAACCCAACAGCAATATATTTCCAAATCAAGATGATCTTAACTTGAGGGAAGTGCTACCAGTAGAATCCAAACTGAGTGATATCGAGTTGGAAAGTAAGTGCTGCATGATAATGCTGTCAATGACACATTTGACCTCTGTGCTAGTGATTGAGTAAAGTGAAGGGGCAGTAATTGCATAGATTGGATTTGTCTTGTTCTTTGTGGACTGGGCATATCTGGGTACGTTTCCAATTTTGTGATATAACATCAGTATTGTAGGGGTACTGGAGCAACTTGGCTAAAGGCAGGACTAGTTGTGGAGCACAAGTATTCAATACTGTAGCTAAAATGTTGTTTGGCATCATAGACTTTTCTGTTGACAGTGAATTGGTGGAGCCATTTCTTGGTATCATCCAGAGTGAATCAAATTAACGGAAGCCTGGCTTCTATGAGGGTGGGGACTTGGGGAGACTGAGATAGGTCAATCTCTTGGCACTTAGGACTGAGGGTGATTTCAAACACTTCAGTCTTGTCTTTTGCATTCTTGGTAAGCTCCACCATCATTGAGGGCAGGTATGTGTGGAGCCTTTTGCTCCAGCTGACTGTTTAATTCCTGACCAGCATTCATAACTGGTTGCGGCAGGATTGGAGAGCTTTGTTCTGATTATGAGATCGCTGCCTATCTATGCTTATAGCCTACGCTTCTGATGGTTAGGATATCTCTGAATTTCAGTTAATGTTCCTATGTTGATGACTCATCTTTAGGTACACCCAGTACTACTGTTTTACTGATCAGGCTTGGTCCCCAAACTTGACAGTAATGGTGGAGTGAGGAATATTCATTTACAGGTAGTAGTGGAATACAGTTCATGTGATGCCACAGCTTGTCATGGATGTCTAGTTTTGAACTGCATCACCACAAGCACAGTCATCTCCAAATACACCTACGTGAGGTAGATTGGAAGGGTGAAATCAAGTTGGTTTTCTGTTACCTGCTGCAGGCCTGTTGTGGCAGACAATTCTTTCAAGGTTGTGCCAGCTCAGTCAGATATGTAGCCTCTGAGCCACTCTTGGTGATGGAAATTTAACTTCTCAACCTTGAGTAGATTCTGTACCTTTGCTACTCCTTGTGCTTCTTCCACAAAGTATTTGATATAGTGAAATGCTGATTCTGTCTGCTGAGGTAAGGTGAAGTGACAGTCAGCAGGAGGTTTCCTTGCACATGCCATCAAACTTCATTGAATCTAGACCCCCAAGGCTCCTTTTGGAGGAGTCACTTTGCAGTCATTCCACGTGTTCAAAGTGTAGTGACCTATTTTGAAAGGCTTTGCAGTCCCAATCCCATAATTAGACTTGAAAATTGAAATTCAGTATCTCTCTAGTGAAAAGAGTGATTAGTAATGTAAAATGCCCTACAGATGAGAAACTCAATTTTCTTTAACTACCTCATCTACTCAAGCGTGTATTCCAAGTAACTTATGATTTTTTTTTTGCTAATGAATACAGAACAGATTCCTAGGCACAGTCATATTGATGCTAGTCCATCAGCCCAGTTATTTGATGTCAATAGAGCTTAAGGTTGTAAAGGAGTAAGGAACCACCTACATTGGAAAATATTCTGCCAGTCAAAAAATGTTTAGCTCCAGTCTTCTCTGTGAAACAGACAGTAAATAATTTGTGTGGAAGATTTGTGCATCCAAATCCAAATGTAACTTAGGTATCTTAGTGTCACAGTACTTGTTATCATGGCTCGGATGATTATTTTCTCCTAAATGGTTTTTTTTCCCACTTTCCATCTACGAATTTAGGTTATTTCAACTCAGTATCACTTTGTTTTGAAACACGCACATTACTGTTGTTAGTGTTACCACATTTTTTACATGCCAAGCTCATTCGTGTTTACAGTACATTGCTTCTCCTTTTGCCACTAAAGCAGAAAATGCTGTTACTGGAACGTGCAACAAATCTGTCAGCAGGTGTAAAGAAAAAGCACAAGTTAATACATTATAGATATTAATCACCTTGAGCCTTTTTTTTAATAAATGCCAACATATTTGAGCATTTGCAACATTTTATACTTGCATTCATATTTTCAAACTGTAAGTTAAGTTTTTTTTTTTCTTTATTTCTTATGATCTAATTTACCCTGTGAAGACACCATGCCATCAAAATTTCTCAAAGGTCACGGTGGCTGTTGTTTAAGGCAATTGGTCTCTCTTTGGTTACTATGTTCATCTAGAGCTGAGGATCTTTTGGCAGCACCTTCCAAAATATGTGACATCTACCACCTAAAAGGACCATTGCAGCAGATCCATGTAGACACCACCACCTGCAAGTTACCTCCAAATCACGCCACCCGACTTGGAACTACATCATTGTCCCTTCACTGTTGCTCGGTCACAATCTGGAGCTCCCTTCCTAACAGTACTGCTTGTGTCCCTAAATCACAGCTACTAAAACAGTTCAAGCAGCGAGCTCACCTTCTCAAGGGCAATTAGACATTGTGTATGTGGACTTCAGGAAAGTGTTCGATAAGGTTCTGCATGGTAGTCTGGTTAATAAGGTTATATCACTTAGCATCGGGAGAGCTAGCCAATTGGATACAAAATTGGTTTGAAGGTGGGAGATGGAGGCTGGTAGTAGAGGGTTGCTTTCAGACTGAAGACTTGTGACCGGCAGTGTGCCACAAGGATCGGTGCTGGGTCCACTGCTTTTCATCATTTATATAAATGATTTGGATGGGAATGTTGGAAGTATGGTTTGTAAGTTGGCAGATGATGCCAAAATAGGTAGTGTAGTGGACAATGAAAAAGATTATCTCAGAGTGCAGCAGGACCTTGATGAGATGGCCCAATGGGCCAAGCAGTGGCATGTGGAATTTAGTTGAGATAAAGAGGAGGTAAGGCAAACCAGGGCAGGTTTTGTACAATTAATTATAGAATCTGTACAGTGTGAAAGCAGGCCAGTCAGCCCATCAAATCCACACTGACCCTCTGAAGAGCATCCCACCCAGACCCATCCCCTTACCCTATCCCAGTAACCCTGCATTTCCCAGGGCTATTCAACCTAACTTGCATGTCCTTAAACACTATGTGCAATTTAGCATGGTCAATGCACCTAACCTGCACACCTTTGGACTGTGGGAGGAAACCGGAGCACGTGGAGAAAGCCCACACAGACACAGGGACAAGTGGGAGCCCTGTGAGACCTAGACATGCAGGTGCATAGGTAGACAGGGTGGCGAAGAAGGCATTTAGCACACTTGCCTTCATTGATCAGAACATTGAGTGAAGGAATTGGGACATCATGTTGTGGCTGTACAGGGCGTTGGTGAGGCCCCTGAAAAGAATACTGCATACAGTTCTGGTCACCCTTCTTTGGGAAGGATGTTGTTGAACTGGACAGGGTGCAGAAGAGATTTACAAAGATGTTGCTGGGACTGGGTTTGAACTATAGGGAGAGGCTGAATAGGCTGGGGCTTTTCTCCCTGGAGCGTCAGAGGCTCGGGGTGACCTTCTAGAGGTTTATAAAATCATGAGGGGCATGTATAGGGTGAATAGCCAAGGTCTTTTACCTAGCGTGGGGGGGTGCAAAACTAGGAGGCATAGATTTAAGGTGAGAGGGGAAAGATTTCAAAAAGGACCTGAGGGATAGTTTTTTTTCACGCAGAAAGTGGTGCGTGTATGGAATGAGTTGCCGGTGGAAGTGGGTACAATTACAGGATTTAAAAAGCATTTGGATGGGTATATGAATAGTAGTGGTTTAGAATGATAAGGGCCAAATGCTGGCAAATGGGACTAGGTCAAATTGGGATGTCTGGTCGGTACAGACAAGTTGGACTGAAAGGTCTGTTTCCATGCTGTATGACTCTATGACTGGGTGATAAATATTGTCCTTGCCAGCCATACTCACTCCTCTAAAGCAAATATTTCAAAAAGTACTGAGAATCATTGATAACATACTTGTCTTGTATTTACTAACATGCATATTAGTTCCAATCCAAAATAAATCAATCGAGCAATTTAGTTTTGGACAACGTTACCTTCCGTTAATTGAAAATTGAAAGCAGTCAGTCAGGCACAGGCCTTGTAAGACTAGGCTGGTACTTTATGCCATCTCAATGACCTGTCCTGCCACTGTGATTTCTATTCATGTTATTCTATGAAGACAGTGCGCAGCAATTTGGCAATAAATATCATTTTTAAGTGATCTTATTAGTAAATTTCAATAATGATGCCACAAGACAGGAGCAGAATTAGGCCATTTGGCCCATCAAATCTGCTCCACTACGCAATCATGGATGATATGTTTTTCAGTTCCATTTTCCTGCCTTCTCCTTGATCACCTGTCTAATCAAGAATCTATCTATCTCTGTCTTAAAGACACTCGATGACTTTGCCTCCATTGCCTTCTTTGGTAATAAGTTCCGCAGATTCACCTCTCTCTGGCTGTAGAAATTCTTCCTCATCTCAGTTCTAAAGGGTCATCTATTTACTCTGAGGCTGAGCCTTCAGATTCTAGTCCCTCCTACTCGTGGAAACGTCCACTCTATCCAGGCCTTTCAGTATTCTGTAAGTTTCAGTGGGATACATTGATTATGTTGAGGAAAGGTCCAGAATAAACTTAGCAAAGACTTTATCCTCACATTAAAAGAAAAGCTTACACCCTATAGAATAGTTATACTTTTGTTTAAAAAAAGCCTGACTAAGCGTCCTGTTCAAAATATTCATTTCCATTCCAGTGGACTGAGACTATGGAATTGTGATCTTCTGTCACTTGGCCTCAAAATTTGGCCTTCAGTGTTATAGTTTTTCATCAGTTACCTGGATGGAATTTGTAAGAAAATGGAGAGTCTAGAGGAGTACAGCCTTAATAACTTCTTTAATTCTTTTTCTTAATACGATTTCAAAGTGGTAAAACTTTTGTTTGGTGCTTACGATGTCAGTGGGTTGGTTGCTGATGTAAAATATTTCTCAACTTACAGAGTCATCTTAAAGTGTTCAATGTGCGAAACTGTATTCAACCAGCGAGCTTTGTTACATAAACACTTGGAACAGCACAAAAACAAGTTGAAAGTGTGTGTGTACAAGTGTCCTGTGTGTAAACTGCTCTACATGCACAAACAACTGATGATGGAGCACTTCAAGGTAGGTGTAGTGACTCAAGGTAACTAGCCTTTCTCAGTCAAGTAGAGTTAATTTCCAGGCAAATGTCTTTTGTGGTCTGTGGTGTATGTATGCTCGTGAGCTCATCAGGGAAAGAAAAACATAATAGCAAGGTGTTGCTGCTTTAAGCATTCCCACATAAACTCATTTCGAAAATAGTGATGATACCATTCTTTCTTTTTGGAAAAAAAGTGATAACAGATGGCCTGTATTTTTTTAAAGCTGAAGTGAATTGAAGCTTAACTGACTCCATTCCAGAAGCTCTGTTGGGTTGGATTTTTTTTATATAAGCAATATTTGAGAATGTTGAACTAAGCTTGACAGTGTTCTGAAATGTAGCAGGCTTTATTTAGATTGAAGGAAAGAAGGAATATGGTAATATGTTCTGAAATGTGTTTCCAGGAAAGGCTAGTGATAGATAGTAGTGAGAAATATGTCCTGCAAAACCACAATGTGTGATAAACAAGGTGTTTGGTTTTCACAAAAGTAGTTAACCATAGAGCGCATCTCTAAGATGTCAGAAGAAATTCTGGAGGTCAAAACAACTGAATTTGTTCTTTTTCAGCCATGAAAAATCTAGTGATAACTGCATGGTTTATTAGTGTGTGATTGGATAGCTCATTGAGTTTGTCTGATAATTAAGTGCACCATAAGAGTCCAGGAAAATCCTAGGTTTGAAAGTTGGCCTGCATTCCATTAGTTAATCTGAAGCACGGTTTCCCAAACCGTATTCCCCAGTGGGCACACAAGTTGAAAATTTGGAGTTGCAAGCTCTGAAAGAGCAATGGCTGCTTTCAAGCTTCGTCTAAGTGTTAACAGCCACAAAGCCCCAGTTAAGTCCTTAGTTTTGGTTAATGATGCTTGTAATTTACCTGACTGATCTTTAAGGTCTGATTCCTGCTCCTAAAAAAAGCTAACGAAAAGGCAAATTTTTTAAAATCTCTCAGGATTGAATCCTTGGCCTCCACACTGTACGCTTCTGGGCCTCAAAGCATCTCTCCACCCTAATCCCATGGTTCTCACAGTTTGGTCATGAAATTTTCGAAACCTTAAAAACAAATCACAATGGGAAAATTTTTGGAAAGTCTATCGAGACCGACTGACCTGTGTAAGTAAGTTAGAAACCAATAACACGAAACAAATGAAAAGAGTTATGAATCTATGAGATATAAACATAGTATTTTATAAATCCTTGCCATGATGGAAATAATTATGTGTCATGGTTGGGCAAAGTACGTTCTAGCATTTGTTCCACATCTTTAATTGGAAAATAACGGGATAGGAAATTATATTGTCAGATCTGAGTATTTTGTTTTAAATTTCTGCTTTGATGGTGACTTTTACAGGCAATTTAACTACAAAGGGCACCATTGCTGAGGCCTGATTATTAACCTTAACCAAAATCCATAATAGTGCACTTCTGACAAGTGAGAAAGCCACTGCTAAAATTGTACTTGCATATGCTGGGTCTTGTCCCACAGCATGCACAATCAAGACTGCAACACGTTGGGAATGATAAACTCGGTTACTTAAATTTATGATCTCTTACTGTTAACAATGTTATACTGAAAAGGGAATGTTGCCATAGTCCCAGAGGACTGTAGGCTGTTTTCTCTCATTTAAAGAGAGACAACCTAACGTGTGTATAACCCAAGGGTTACCAGGCTTCCGGCAAAGGGTGAGATCAAGAAGGCTGGACTGTTATGGTGATTTGGTATGGGAATCAAACCTGCACTCTACATTGTAACCCTTGTCTAACTAACAGAGCTAACTGATCCCCCCGATATTATCACATATCTCACTATACTTGAGAGATAGTATCCAGCTCTACACCTTGTTATCTCACTATACTTGGCCTAGTTAGTACTTATCCAGTGACTACAATATTCTGTTATCCCACATTATGTTCTTAGGGCACCTTGTGCTGTGACTTTTAAATTTTTTTTGAACACAGTTGTTTTTATACCTATATACCAATCTATTTATCTATATATCATGACTAAATGAAAGCAGGATGGTTACATACACTTTCTCCATCACATTTCAGCACTATACACAATATCGCATAATTGTACACTAGACACTCTTTAAATACATTTTCAACTGGGATTGTTTTGTATGCAAATTCTTTTGTTAAATCATTTTGAATAACTTTTGAAAACCATTCCATCACCATATTTGCTTTTATAATAACTGAAACACCCTAATGTAGTGTGAAGATTGGGGCAAAAGTATGTATTTCCCAATAGGCGCTGTAAAGTTAATTGTAAAATTAACATTTATGAGAATCAGTACCGTCACTAGCAATCTTGCTGAGAGGCCTCAGCCTTTGTGAAAAGGCAAGGGTTTGAATCATTGTTCTCTCCACAAACTGGCATCAGAGGTGATTGAACAACTGTAGTTCTCAGCAAGTGACCATGTTTCCCATTCCCAACATGCTGCAGTCTGAGTGTGCACGTTCTGGAATAAGTCCCAGCGTGTGCAAATACAATTTTCACTTGTCAAAACTATTGTATATTCTGGCTGACGTCAATAATAAGGCTCAGCAATGGTAACCCTTGTTAAATAACCTGGCAAAAGTCGCCATCAAAGTTAAGCAGATTATTAGAAAGAAACAAAGCAATGGAAATGTTGCCATGAAGCTGGGTAACAGCAACAAACAGTTGTTGTAGTCAATCGCCTTGGCTTAACCAGAATATTAATCTATGACTGGTCTGTTCTGATTTGGTGCAAAAGTTATTATAACCATTATTGTAACCTTTTATTCCTCTTGCACCACTGTCATTATTTTAAGTTAAAAAAAATTAATGTAAACTTTGGAATCCATTTTCAGTTTTAACAGGAAAAGCTATTTTTCTTACATTAAATGAGTATGAGAGTTTGTGAGTGGCATTGATATTTTACAGACCAACTTACTTATAAAAGATCCTGCAAAGAATAATGTTATTACTTTTCCTTTCATGGGATATGAATATTGCTGGATTATTGCCCATTCCTAACTACCTTTAAACTGAGTTGCTTGCTAGGCCTTTATAGAGGGCAACTAAGTATCAATGCTGTGGCACTGATTCACGTAGACCAGACCAGATTAAGATGGCAGATTGCCTTCCGTAGAGTATTAGTGAACCACTTGAGCTTTTACCACATTCAATGGGAGTTCATGGTCACCTTCACGCGACTAACTTTCAGTTCCAGATTTATTAACTGAATTTAAAATCCACCAGATACCATGGTGGGATTTGAATCTATATACCCAGAAGCTTAATCTGCATCTTCTATCCACTGGCATTACCACCATACCACCACCTTCCCCAAATAAAAATTCGTATAATTCCCAGTGCGATGCAGCCTGGATGTGTTTAACGTGGAGCAGTGTCCCAAACTGGTAGCAGTGTGAATCACTCAAGTAATTGCGTAGACTGTGTTTCCTCAGGCAGTAGCAATTGAGGTTGTTTTTAAATGATTTTCAAACAAGTTAAAGCTTGAACTCTAGTTCTTTTTTGACACGCATTTTTAAGTGCCTGTGTTTTCTGTCAATAGGCAGAGATACTGCCCGAGAGCAAGGAAAAGAGCGTCAGCTGGAGAGACAGAAAAACAAGTTGGATAGACAGACAGGCAATGTATGTGTGTGGGTGGAATAGAGGTAGACATATTTGGGAATCTTAGGATTGAAGGAGCTTTGGGGCAACTGCCCAACACCACACACCCCTGATATCCTTTTTTTATTCATTCAAAGGATGAGGGCATCGCTGACTAGGCAGCATTTATTGCCCATCCCTAATTGCCCAGAGGGCAGTTAAGAGTCAACCATATTGCTGTGGGTCTGGAGTCACATGTAGGCCACACCAGGTAAGGACAGCAGTTTCCCCAAACAGTTTCCTTCCCCAAAGGACATCAGTGAACCAGATGGTTTTTTCCAACAATCTGCAATGAATTTACGGTCATCATTAGACTCTTACTTACAGAATTCTTTTTATTGAATTCAAATTCCACCATTTGCCATGGCAGGATTCGAACCCAGATCCCCAGAACCTTATCTGGGTCTCTGGATTAACAGTCCAGTGATAATACCACTAGGCTATTGCCTCCCCATTTTCCCAATCATGACTCAGTTCACATTCAGAGCACAATCTAAGAGGAAGTCTCCTAGTACAAAAGTGTTTTTAAAATGTCTGCAGAGGGTGCAATACCTAAAATTCAGACATATCTTTGCTGCTAACAAGGAATCAAATCCTGGGTCAATTTTTTTCTGACGAATTTTATCTTGATTTAGCAGTAGTTATTTCTCTATGGCCCATAACTGTGCAATATTAACTCTAAAAGGGAGCAAGTGAGCATAAAGAGAGGAAGAGCATCCTATTACTAGACGACCTTCCAAATGTGGTTGCTGCCACTGTTACAAGACATAGAGTTACCTCTTTCGTGGTGATTCCTATGCCAGTGGCAGCAGTGGTATAGATCAGGCAGTCTTTCTAACATCATTTTGATGCGGCAAGCCAGTCTGTTTTCCTACCTTATGAGAAGGAAGTTAATTTGATGTTCATAGTGGTGAGGGGTGATGCATGAGGGTTGTTCACACGTGCTCGTGTGTGTACAAACGTACCATATGTTATTATATTCTAAACAGTAATTGTACTTCCCTTTTTTGTTCATATGAAGAATTTAAAAAGACTGTTGTTTGTAAGTTATTTTATGCATCTGTAGAGTGTAACTTATGTGCATTTGTTTGTTTTCTTATCCACAAAACAATTATTCTGCTGGCTTTTGAGATTTGAAACAAAGCTTTTTCCAAGTTTCTTCACAGGAAATGTGAATTTCTCTGCCTCATACACTCTCAATTATCCACTGTTCCATCCCTTATTGACCACCTATTAACAACCATTTATGTGTCAAGGATAGTTTCAGGGTATATACTTTGTTATCAGTTCAAATCATGGGTGCTTCTTAGCTTAGTGCAGTCAAAGACGTGCCAATATGCAGAGTTCTCTCTAAACATCAGTTAAACTCTGACGTCTGCCTGTGTTTACTTGCAACGTTTAGGCTTTGTGCCTATAATGGGAAATGTGCCTATACTTGAAGTACAGAAAAATATGTTTTGTCATACACGTTTCTGTCCATATCCAACAACGTATTGAACAGCAGTCATACTGATACATTGTTGTAGTACCTGATTTTAAAAAAAGCTAGTCACTGATAATGTATAGAAAAGCTTTCAAGAAAAGAATACCATCGTCCAAAATGTCTGGAGCTTCTTAGCAAGAATGAAAAACAAAAACATTAGGGATCACATGAGCATTCCCTGTAAAGTAAAATACTAGCTGCAGAAATCTGCAAAGGTATTTATTTTCCAGAAAAGAACCAGAATGATTTGCATTCTCTTAGAGGTCTGTGATAAACGTCAATGCAAATCTATAGATCCTGCCATGCTGTCACCTTATAACAGCACAGTCTTTGCTACAATGCCAACAATGAAATACTGATGCTCTCATTTGGGGACTGTAGCAAAGCAAACAATGATCAGAAAATTGAAAGTAATTTACCAATATAAAAACTTACAAATTTGCTTTGTACTTCGATGTTACTAAATTGGAACATGAGTACTAGGAGCAGGAATAGGCAATTCAGCCCCTGATGCTTGCTCTGCCATTTAATACAATCATAGATGATCTCATTTTGGCCTCAACTCCACTTCCCTGCCTGCTAGCCATAACCTTTCAAAATGGTGTTGTAGTTCAAGGATAAGCCTTGCAGTTTGGTGGCATTTTATTTTGCTGTTTCATACTGAGAAAAGTCCCAGTGTTCACTAACCAATGAGAGTGCAGAATTCTTAGAAGTTATTAAGACAGAAGACTTTCTTACAAGGTAAATTATTCAACATTCACCTTTCTAAAGTTTTAAACCTGGTATCACTTATTTTTTATCTGCCCCGTATTTTTCCAGTTTATTTATTTGCTTTATATCTACTGACTACAATCATTAATTATGAATCAGCAACCAAACTATATTCTGCAGTTAATGTGTATGAAATGGTTTAGAGAGTCGTGAATGAGCAATGGTTTAGTGCAGAATTAAATTAACATTTTTCAAAGTTTGAATGGAGCAATTTGTGTGGAACCAGGTTCTGCTGTGTCCGTTTGTGTGAAGAAAGATAGAAACTCCTAAGATACTAGGCATTACCTGCTTGCCATGTGTATGCAAGTTGCAGGATGTTAATGATAATTTTCTTTTTAAATTAGGATGTTCACAATAATACACAAACCCCTGAAAAGCCTCCAAGCCCCCTGCCTCCCTCCAAGGACACATCCAGTGATCAGAAAGCATCTACAATGCAAGCAGCTACTAATGGTGTCGCTCCCAACAGTTTGAACAGCGACAAAAAGGACGAAGCTACTGTGGAGAAGTCTGAAACACGACCAAAAGTTAGGAGGCCTGGCTGGACGTGTGCCGAATGTCTGCAGTGGTTTCCAGAGAGAGAGCTCTATGTATCCCACATGAAGAGAAGTCACGGAAAGGTAAATAGTTTATCTTCATAATTTAGTTCTGTTGGGATTAACAAATGTGTATTCCTTCCATTTTTATGGAATTATTTGGAACTTGCTGATTAAATATATAGAATCCTAGTGCCTGGTATTAGAAACAAGCCCAACAGGTCTATGGTGTTAATGTTCTACAGCACAACCTCCTGCACGGCTTCATCAAACTTTAACAGCTTAACTTAATATTCCTTTTTCCTGCATGCCTTTTTCTAGCTTTCCCTTAAAACATCTGTTCTACTTGATTGCTGCCGCTGTTACAAGATATAGAGTTATTCTTTCATAGGATGTGGGCATCGTTGGCAAGGTCAGCATTTGTGTTCCCATCCCTAATCATCCTTGAAATAAGAGTGAGCCTCCTCCTTGAACAATTGCAGTCCACCTGGCATAGATACATCCACAGTGCCAGGGGCGTGAAGAGGGGCAAAGGGAGAGTTCTAGCAGAGAAGAAAAAGTGATTTAGTTGCAAACAAGGATGCTGTGTAGTGGCAAGTTGCACATTCTAACCACTCTGAAGCTAAAAAATGTTTCTCTGAATTAATTGTATGGTTTATTAGGGACTGATATTTCTGAGACTTGGCATGTAGACCCACATAGGCAATAAATTCCTTTTGAAATCTAATCACTTTCTATGAGCGTAATGAGAAACTTAGTTTATCCAAAGAAAGGTTTCACTAGTGTCAGTGAGATGAGCAGCCTTGCTTAAGGGAATATATTTTGTTCAAAACAACAGATAAATAACTCTTCTTCAAAATGTGTCATGAAATATTTTTATGTCTACCAGAATGCACAGGCAGGACCTCAATTTAAAATGCAGTCTCTCACAGCAGCATAGACGCTGTGCTCAAGTTCCTGACCCACAATGAATGTACAGCAAGGGCTTGCGTTAGATTCTAGAGATTCAGTAATGATGCCAAAATCCATGCAATTTTTCATTTTAGTTTGCTTGAGGATCTCTAGCTTTAATCACTATGTTTTAGAATCAATTCATTAAAAATTAATATGACATAACTTGAAACTTTCTTTAAAAGCATCAATTGAGTAGAATGTTTATTTGATAAATGCTTCCTACTGTAATTGAAAAAATTAATTAGTAAACTCTGATTTGGCTAGAATCTAGAATGGTGATGTGAGATGGTCCTGGATAATATAATAGAGGGAAAGAAGATCACTTGTACATATTGAAAACCTTTAATCATGTGATCATTAAAATGACTCCCACACCCCAACTTTGTCAACACAAAAATCATGTATTATCAAGTTCTGCAAAGGTCTTCAAATGTACCCAATTTTAAACCTTCCATCTTTGCTTGCTGTGCTTATAGCTGTCTGGATCCTAAGCTCTGGAATTCCCTGCCTAAACTTCTCCAACTTTCTTACCTCTTTTAAGATGACCCTTAAAACCTATCTCTGTGACCTGACTTTAGGTTGTCTTATGCGTCTCAATATAAAATGACAACCTCAACTGCTTCACACTCTGGCCTGGATGCTCACACTGAGAGCTCCTCCAGAGGTATCTGTATTTTTTTGTATCCAATCAAAGTTGGAAATAGGGTTTCTGACACTGATTGGAAGATCTGGGCTATTACTGACAATGAAAGCGAGAGTGGTGGGAAAGTGCTGTCATTTCTGAGTCACCTTAACTCAGTAATGTCTGAACTCCCACAGTTTATGATTGGTCCTCTGGTTCTGAACTGTTAATCTGAAAGCTGAGCCAGGTATGTCCTGAGGGCATTTTTAATGATTGACGCACCACCCTGTATCATCGGCTTGGCCTGGGCTGTGGTAGGAAGAAGCATTGCATTTAGAGTCATAGAGATGTACAGCACAGAAACAGACCCTTCGGTCCAACTTGCCTGTGCTGACCAGATATCCTAAATTAATCTAGTCCCATTTGCCAGAATTTGGCCCATATGACTCTAAACCCTTCCTATTCATGTACCCATTCAGATGCCTTTAAATGTTGTAATTGTACCAACCTTCACCACCTCCTCTGGCAGTTCATTCCATACACACACCACTCTGCGTGAAAAAGTTGCTTTAGGCCCCTTTTAAATCTTTGCCTTCTCACCTTAAACCTATGACCTCAAGTTTTGGACTCCCCTACCCTGGGAGAAAGACTTTGACTATTCACCCTGTCCATACCCCTCATGATTTTATAAACCTCTATAAGTTCACCCTTCAGCCTCCAACGCTGCAAAAACGATAGCCTCAATCTATTCAGCCTCTCCCTTTGGCTGAAACCCTCCAACTCTGGCAACACACTTGTAAATATTTTGCTGCACCCTTTTTACTGGTATCTGGCTTAGTTCCCTTTGTTGAATCAATGATGGAACTGATTGACCTGCATATAGGACTGCAGTTCTTCCTATTTAGCTGTAGGTAATGTCAAAGCTGAAATAAGTAATCTGGTCACAAGTAACAGGATTCTTTCCCTCCTTGCTTCACACTTTTTCTGACTACTGGCTAGCTTTCTGATATTAGCAATGAAATTCTACCATTTGGGGTTTCCTAAACTGTGGCATTTGTCAGTCTGATAGAAATTAGGTAGATGAAATGTTCTTTTACACAAGGGTTTTGTACACAGGCACAGGGGAGTCCGTTGTGTGAATTTCTCTGTTGTTTGGTTTAACGAATCTGATATGGCAATGGTTTAATGATGTGTCCACATGACTGACCAAAATACCATCTAATTATGGGGCAGTATTAAATTATGGTAAAATTGCTGTTGGCTGTGCCACAAGCCACC